CTTCCCCCTCCTCCTCCTCCTCCTCCTCCTCCTCCTCCTCCTCCTCCTCCTCCTCCTCCCCCTCCTCCCCCTACCCCTTATGGTGGCAGTCCTGGGCTCTGGGCTTTCTTGGAGCGCTTCGGGCCGTCTTGGATCCCCCTTGGGCCCCTCTTGTGCCGTCTCGGGGGCCTCTGAGGCGTATCTTGGGGGGGGGCATTCGACCCCATTCGCCCGCGCCTCGACCCCCCCCTGGACCCCTTCGTACCTCGCTCTTTCGGTTACCTGCTTAGCACGGGGACGGAAGGCGCACTCAGCTTGTGATGGCTCGAGATCGTTGGCTTGTCTGTGCTTCCTCCTCTCATGTCTTCTCTTCCCCTCGCCCGGGTCTCATCCATGGGGGAGGACTTGGGCTAGTATTGGGCCGTCGAAAAGGCCGGCGGGGGGGAGGAGGCTCTCCCAGGGAGTTGAAGAGGCAACCCCTGGGAGGTCTTCGCAAGAACGAGGAAGGGCCATGAGGCCCGATGTAGCGCCCAAGTAACCCAGACTGAGCCCATGCTCAAGCTGGGTCTTGGGCTTGTGCTGGGCCGTCTGTAGGACCTCTCGTGCCGTCGTCGGACCCTCTTGAGCTGGCTCGGGGCACTTCTGTGGGCATCTCGGGCAGTCTTGGAGTGCTCTCGGCGGAACGCCACTGCAAACATGCTTGACGTGCACCTCCTGGGGCCATCTCGGAGAAACTCTTGGAGCCATCATGGGGCTTCCTGGAACCACTTGGGCCGTCTCGAGGCCATCTTCTGCCGTCTTGGAACCCTCATGGGCTGTATCGGAGCCTCTCGGCCCTCTTGAGTCGTGTTTGAAGGAATCTTGGACCGACTTGGGCCCTCTTGGAAACTATGTTTGGGCCATCTTGGGAGGCCTTTTTGGGCTGTCTCGTTGGCCTCCGGTGGGCCGTGTTCAGAACTTCCAAGAAAGATGCCAATTCGAGCTTGACAACATCTCACTTATTTGAATCTGATCCTAACGACAACGCCACTCTGGAATCCATCTTGGACCGTCTTGGGCCCACTCTAGAGACAAGCCTGGAGCAATCTTCGGCCATCTAGTGGCCATATCGGTCCTTTGTGTTGACCTCTTTTGAGCCGGCCAGACGTCTTCCAAGAGAGGTTCCAAGACGATGTCGGCAACATGTTGCTTGAGTATGTCCCTAGCAGCAGATCCGTTCATGGCAAGAGCGACACCGAGACGACGTCAACAACATCCAATGCGTATGAAGATGTCCGCCGCAAAACCGCCGTGTCTGGCAACAGCGACGTCGACCACATCTCATGTTTGTGAAAGTGCCCTTGGCGAAACTGACATTGTGGGTGGAAGTAGGGCGTGTTACAGCCGTCTTGTTGGGCTATGTTCGACCGTTGTGAGGCCTCCCAAGGGCGATCCCAAGACGATGTTGGGAGCATCTCATGCTTATGATGCTGTCCCCAACGAGATCGCCATTTGGGCCATTAGGTCCCTGGGGCCTCGCCTGCCATCCCCCTCGAACCCACCCTGCAGACTTCTCCCGAAGACCGTACGCTACTCGCGCGTGCCGTTTTCAGCCGCCCCCGTAGTCTGCCGAATGGTGCCAGCGTGCTGGAATGATATAACTCTTGCCGGCCCGCCCCAAACATTCTGGTGGTCTCCGGCCCGACCCGGCGGCCACCCGTACGCAGCAGGCAGCTTTGTCACCGCCATCGTGCCAAGGCCAGGGCCAGCCTGTCCCCAGCATGGCGTGTACGCCCTCCTGGCCCGCGGATGTCCCGCGAGGCATCCGAGCTGGCACAAGAAGGATCCAAGACGGGAGAGCTCCTTTGGACGCCCGGAATGGGTAAGGACAAAAATGGGTACAAGGCCCAACAACAAATGTTGTCCCAAACCAACAGCGGCCGCTGTTGGGCAGGCGGCCTTCTGTCTCGAATGGACACAGGCCGCAGTGGCGTGGACAGCGAGTCCTGTTCAAAATGAACAGGATCCGCTGTTGGGCATTGTACCCATTCTTTCCGTGCCTATTTCGTTCGTGCAGAGCTCCAAGGCAGCCCAGGATGGTCTCAAGATTGTCTAAGGGGCAACGATCATGCATCAAGAAGCCTCCCGAAAGACCCCCAGAGGTGCCTAACGAGGCAGCAATCCGTGCTTTTCCTGAAGCGTTAGGCAGACGTCCGTGCTATCATCTATTCGGGCTTCCGGCAAAGCAAGACGACCTAAGAGACCTCCACAGACGGCCTAAGCGACCTCCGCTATTGCCCTACGACTGCCCACGAGGCCTCTCAGAGGGGCCCGTGATGGCCCAAGATGGCACCGAGCTGGCCCAAGAGAGCCCAAATATCGATGGCTTCGAGAGGGCGCCAAGACGGCCCTGAGAGGATCTTAAGACAGACTCTGAACGCTCGCGCGCTCTCTCTCTGCCCAGCAGAAACGCTGTGGAGAGAAACGCCTGGGGCCCACAAACCTGCAGGAGGGGGTAGGGACGTAATCCAGAGGCGTGGCAAGTAGAGCAATACACTTTTTTGATTTGCAGGGCGAGAGCGAACCTCTTCCGCTGAAAGCTAAGCGGGACGCGCACAGCTTTACTTAGCAGAGAAAGGGCGGAAGAAGGCGGGGCCTCACGCGGCAGGGAGAGGGCGAAGCCCAGGGATCAGGCGGTGCCGCAGTGGACGTGCAGGACAAGGAAACAAAATAGAGCAATACACAGCGTGGGGGATCGATTCCTCCACTCCTGGAGTGGGTGTGCGCAAACCTTGCCAATGCCAACGACGGCCACCCACAAAGGACGACTGTTCGGGGGGCCCTCGGCACCACACAGCAGTGGGGCGTCGTGGCCAGAGAATGGGTCTGAGGCGCAGGCAGAGGCGGCGACGGATGTGACCGAGCAGGAGGAGAAACAAAAGGCATAACAGAAAGAAGAGGTGGAAAACGGAGAGAACGAGGAGGAACATGAACAGCATGAGGTGGGCGAAGACGAACACGAGGAGGAAGCGGAGGTCATCTCGGGATCCCGCCAAAACGCCCCCCCACAAGGTGCCGTTCAACCTCAACATGTCACTGTTCGAGTGAATGTCGGCAGGGAGAGCGTCGTCTGTGAGGATGCGACAGTACCGCGAATGATGTGTACACATCCATTGTCCGATCTACAAATAAAAAGCTGCCTGCCAGGGGCTCCTGCAGCTGACGACGAGGCTAGGGGCTCACGTCATAACACAAAGCAAACGAAGAAACTGCCAGCCAGAGCCGGGAGGGGGTGGTCCCAGGTCTGTGGGGGGGGGGGGGGGGCTCCGACCCAGAATACCATCCCCTCTCCCGCCTGGAGGGGGGGGGGTCCCGGGTCTGTGGGGGGGGGTCCCGACCCAGAATACCATCCCCTCCTGGCGATCCCTCCCTGGGCTCTCCTCCTCAAGCGCGCCAGTCACACCGAAATTGAACAAAGTCGTAGTTGAGTCGAAGGGAAGCCTAAGCCCCTTCCCTTTGATCCCTTTCCCGCCGGGAGGGGGGGGGCTGGTCCCGGATCTGTGGGGGGGGGGGGTCCCGACCCAGAATGCCATTCCCCCCCCCTGGCGGTCCCTCCTTGGGCTCTCCTCCTCGAGAAGGCTCACACGGTGGCCCAACGGGGAGAGCCCCCCGACAACACAAGAAAACCCCAAAGCGGCCCAGGAGGGGCCCGAAACATCACAGAAAGCCTCCCAGAACGCCCCTAGGCCACCACAAATGGCCCCCAGGAGACCCCAAAAGGACTCCCAAAACGCCCCCAAACGGCCCAGGCCGCCATCCACAGCGCACCCATTCCCGTCGAGAGCCCGGGCCTCCAGGGTCGGCGGCACCGGCTGTAAGGCCTTCGCAATAAAAAGCTGCCTGCCAGAGCCTCCTGCAGCTGGCGGCGAGGCTGGGGGTGCACGTCATAACACTAAGAAAACCAAGGAACTGCCAGCCAAAGGTTGATGCAGCTGACGGGTCCAAAGGCATACGTCTGACGTGCGTTACAATACCCGGGTCATTCAACAAACATTCCAAGAATGTCGACGCGGATCTAGCCGCATCGACGTCTTGGGGCCTTCTATGAATGATTCCACGACGATTCTGAGAATTTCTATTTGCTTGGGGGATGTCCCTAGCGAGTCCACCATTCGTAGCCCCAGAGAAACAATATTCTTGAGACCCCTGGAGGCCTCTTGGGAGCAATGCTGGACGCTCCCTTGCAAACCAGGACGTGTTAGATGAACGAGGTGCTTGCGCGAAGCCTACACAGGCTTAAGCAGTGCTTGCGCGGTGTTCGCGCAGGGCGTGCTAAGTAGTTCGACCTGCTCCTGGGACGCGTCTTACATTCATATTCCATGTGCATGAAGCCTTGGGTCTGCTCAACCACCTTTTTACATGGAACTTGCATGTACACTGGGCCCTGCGACCGCTCAGACACCCGGCTTCCCATGCAAACCATCAACTTGGACGCGAGCGTACGCGGAGCAAGCGCGGAGCTTACGCAAGGACATGCTGAACCTTTTGGGGATATCGGACGCCTCATGCAGGCCTCTTAGTAGGCCTCGAGATATGTATATATATATATATAGGTGTATATATATGCATGTATACATTTATATATATACATGCTAGAACCATCGCGCGCGCTCAAGTTCTAGCTAGGCTGGATGGTCGAACTCTTGGGGATCTCTATTGTATGATATTAGCCAGGGCTTCCAAGAGCCACGAAGACGGCCCAAATGGCTTCAAAGACATCGCGCTCTCGCGCCGCACCCGAGAGGAGAAGACGAGGCCGTGGAGAAATCGGAGCCGAACCGCGAAGCGCGAATATCTTCTCACCCTCGAGGGCGCAAAGCAGGAACGAGGATGAGAAGGACGAGAAACAAGATGATGATGATGAGGAGGAGGCCGCAGAGGAGGAGGAGGAGGAGGAGGAGAAGGAGAAGGAGGAGGAGGAGGAGGAGGAGGAGGAGAGAGGAGAGGAGGGGAGGAGGAGGAGGAGGAGGCCGCGAGGAGGAGGAGGAGGAGGAGGAGGAGGAGGAGGAGGAGGACAGGAAAGAGGCGGAAGAGGAGGGGGGGGGGAGAAGGAGGAGGAGGAGGGGGGGAAGGGGAGGGGGAGAAGAAAAGGGGGAGGGGGGAAGGAGGAGGAGGGGAGGGGAGGGAGGGGGAGGGGGAGGAGGAGGAGGAGGAGGAGGAGGAGGTAGGAGGAGGAGGTAGGGGACATTCTCTGGCACACATTCTCGTTCGCGGTCCGCTCGTGGCTGGTCGTCGCCCCCCCTGGCTCTGGGCCCCCCCTCCCCTGAGCCCCTCGCCCCAACCCAGACCTCCAGCTCCTGCTCCCAGGCCCAGCCCCGTGGGCCCAGGCCCTGGACCCATCCTCCCCCCCCGGCCCTGGCCCCAGACCGAGCCTCCGCTCTGGCCCTGGTCCCAGCTCCCCTCGCCCCGGACCTCTCTCTTCTCGCTCGCGGTTCGCTCGTGGGCCGCCGTCGTCCCCTTGGCCCTGCCCCCCCCCCTCCCCTGGGCCCCCCGCCTCACACCAGACCTCTGGCCCCTGGTCCCAGGCCCAGCCCCGTGGCCCTGGACCCAGCCTCCCCCCTGGCCCTGGCCCCAGACCGAGCCTCCGCTTTGGTCCTGGTCCCAGCCCCCCTCGCCCAAGACCTTGATTTTTTTCGTTAGTGTTTTTTTTGGGGGGTCCCTTCGGGTGCCCTGTTGGGTTGTCTCGGGGCCCTGTTGGGCCGTCTTGGGGCGTCTTGGAAATCTGTGGCCGTCTTGGGGCTCTCTTGGGGGTCTCTGGGTGCCCTCATCTTGGGGACATCTTTGGGCTCTCTTGGGGGGGGCTCTCTTGGGGCCGTCTTGGGGCAATCTTGGGCTGTTGTAGGGCCCTCTGGGGCCGTCTTGCGGCCCCTTTGGATTGTGTTCGGGCCATTCTGGGGCCCCTTGGGCTGTCTGGGAAGGATCTTGGAAGCCTATTGGGCCTTTTTGGGCCGCTCGTGGACCGAAAAGGCGGGACCCTTCAAAGCGAGCAAACACCATAGACAAAACTGTGATGTTGACCTCTGAGAGAGCGCGTTCCACAGGCGCTTGCCTTGGGAACAGTCGGCGGCGCGCTTCGAGCTGGGGGGTGGGCCTCCGTAAGGTGTAGGATTCGGTACCAGTTCTCTTCACCCCTGTGGGGTAACACGTATATATGTTTAAACATACATACATGCATACATACATACATACACGTAGATACATACATACATACATACATACATACATACATACATACATACATGCATGCATGCATGCATACAAACAAACATACATACATACATACACACATGCATACATACACATGTATATATGAAACCATAGATGCGGGGGATGCAACAATACACGTGCACATATACATCTGTATATATTTAAAAACAAGCACAAACATGAACATACAAACATGCTTTATATAATCTTACTTCTATACACACATATACGGGTGGGGGGGGTCCAGACCCCCCCGCCCGCGCCGGCGCTGGCGCTGGCGCTGGCGGCGCCAGCAGCGCCGACGGCGGGGACGCAACGACGATTACCACCACTTCCACCACCACCACCTCAACCCACCACCACCACCACCAACAACCCACCACTCAATCACCACCACCACCACAGCCACCACCACCACAACCACCACCACCACAACTCACCACCACCACAACCACCACAAAAACCCACCACCACTACCACCAGCACCACAATCTACCACACCACCCACCACCACCACCGCCACAACCACCACCACTACCAGCAGCACAACCCACCACCACCACCACCACCACCACCACCACCACCTCCACAAAAAAAACACCGCCACCACCACAACCCACCACCACCACCACCACCACCACCACAACTCACCACCACCACACCACCACCACCACCACTACGACCACCACAACAACCCACCACCACCACCACCATCACCACAACCAACCACCACCATGACTCACCACCACCACCACCACAACCCACCACCACCACCACAAACCACCACACCACCACCACCACCACAACCACCGCCACCACAACAAACCACCACCACCACCACTACGACCACCACAACCACCGCCACCACCACCACCACAACCCACCACAACCACTACCACCACCACAACCACTACCACCACCACAACCACCACGACAAAACACTTCACCACCACCGCGACCACCACCACAACAACCTAAACCCACCACCACCACAACTACCACCACCACCACCAGAAACCACGGCACCACCACAAGCACCGCCACCGCCACAACCTGTCACCACAACCACCACAACAACCACCACCGCCACTACCACCACCACCGCCAACAACAACCACAACACCACCACCGCAACCCACCACCACCACCGCCACTACCACCACCACCACCACCACGTCAGCCCATCACCACCACCACCACCACCACCACCTCAGAGAGGCCCCGAGAGACGCCCAAGAGGGGCTCAGGAGGCTGCACAAATGCCCTTCAGAGGCTCCCGAGCCCTCCGACGAGACTCCAAGAGGCATCCATCAGGACTCTGACCCAAAACCAAGGCACGGTGGCGGAGCGTCGTCGTCGTCGTCGTCATCGTCGTCGCCGTCGTCCTCGTCGACGCTCCCTGCCGCCGCCCGCCGCCGCATGCGCCGGCGCCGGCCCAGAACAGGAAATCGTCGTCCCCGCCGCCGCCGCCAACCGCCGCCGACGTAGGCGCCGGCCCGAGGAGAGGGAGAGGAGAAATAGGGGAGGAGAAAAGGTGGGGGGGGTCGGGTTCCAAACCCCTCCCTTTCCAAGCGACCGCAGAACGCGCTCTTTCTTTCTTACCTCTGTGGGCCTTCTTGGGAAGCCTTTTGGAAGCCTCTTCGGGCGTCTCGGGGCCTTCTTGGGCCGTCTTGGAGGCCTTCGGCCGTCTTGGAGCTTTCCTTGGGGCCTCTTGGGGCCCTCTTGCGAGCCTCTTCGGGCCCTCTTTGGGCTCTCGTGGGGCTGTCTTGGTTCCCGCTTCGGTCGGGTCGGGGCCTTCTTGGGCCGTCTTGGGGCCCTTCAGCCGCACTCGAACAAATACAACGGAACGGGCCATTGATGCCGCCCTGGAGCCGTTTCACTTGAAAAATAAAACAGAAGCTGGCCATTCGACCTTTCGCCCGCGCCTCGCCCCTCCCCTGGAACCCCTCCCTAGCTGTTCCTGGCCGAAAATGCGAGAATCGAAAACACCTTAGGACAATCAACAGTTTTGGCCTCTCCAGGTCCTCTTGGGGGTCCTCTTGGACCTTCTTGGGACCTTCCTGGGCCATCTTGAGGACATCTGAAATCATCTTGGAACGCTCTCAGGCGGTCCTGGGCTGTCTTGGGGCGCGTTGGGCCGTCTTGGAAACCTCTTGGACCCCTCTTGGAGGTACCTTCGGCCGTCTTGGGCGCTTCTTGAGTGGTCTTGGGCGCCTTAAGAGCCGTCTTGGGGGGGGGGGGGGCCGTCACCACTCGTACTTCGCTATTTCCGTAACCTGTTTGGCATGGGGACGGAACGCGCCTGTGCTCTGTGAGGGCGCGACATCGCTTGCTCAGTGTCTTGGAGCCCTCTTGATTTTAGAATTCTGTTATGCTATACAAAAAACTAACAACCAGCCTTGCGAGCATGAATGAACATGGCATCTCCTGACCTTATTGGGGGGTCCTTTTGGGGCTGCTTTGGGCAATGCACACAATATTTGAGCACCTCCGCGCGCGCTCTCCGGCGTTCCGAAGTCTGCAAATATTGTCGATTCTGGAAACGTTGCATGTCAGACGTTTGCCGCATGCTCTCATGTCCGAAACAAGCGCAGAGGCCACCGTCAATCGATGACCCTGCCAAACCACTGTAAGCGGTTTGGCAGGGGCGGCTCTCGACCCAACGTCCTCTGAAACATCTCCGCCAACTCAATCTACGATGGCTGCGAGATCTAAAGGGGGCACCCGTGTGGCAGAACCCGATCACCGTCTACGATGGCTGCGACCTCTGGAGCCTCCCCGTGCAGCTCTCCACGTCGCTGATCCTGCCGTCGGCCAGCGCGCCTCGCAGCTCGCGCACGGACTCCTTCTCGTCGCGCTGCTCCGCGAGCCACTGGTGGTGCAGCGTCGGGTAGTACAGGTGCGGACTGTGCGGCAGAAGCCTCGAGGACAGCCGCTGACCCTCCTGCTCCCAAGCCGAGGCGCCCTCGCAGTCGTTGAACTGAGCCTGCGTGCGGACCGTCAGGGCGCAGATGTACTTCTTGCGGCACGCGAGCTTCTGCGTCTCGTTGAGCCCGGCCGCCCCGCCCTGGGGCCTCGTCGCCACGCCACAGCCTTGGAGGTCGTTTGCCCGCTGCGTCGCGTACCAGCCCGCATAGGTGTCCCACTCCTCCAGACCGGCCCCCAGTCTCTCGGCGAGCTGTGCGAAGTGGTCCATCAGCAGGAACCCGCTCTCCCGGACACCCTGCCGAAGCACCGGGTAGGCGTCGACGAGATCGTACCCGAAGCTCCACAGCGGCTCCTGGGTGCCCTCGCGGAGCTCGGCGTAGGTCTCGTTGTAGCTCACTGGCCTGCCGGTGGCCGGGTCGTACTCGAACGCGCGGAACTGCGGGTTGGTCTGGTAGATGGGGCTGAGGGCCGACGTGAGGAGCACGGGGCCAGCCCCTCGGGGCGCATTGGGGAGCAGTCGGAACTCCTCCTTGTGCACGTGCCCGAAGAGCTGCGCTGCCACGGCGGGCCCGAGCGTTGGGTCCTGCACGATGGCGAGGTCAGAAGAAGAAACAGCGCCACGAGCATAAACTTTTGGCTCTCCGCGCAGGTTTCCTGGCTCCGCGCGGCAAGGAAGCCGCGCGGAGCGCCAAAAGTTTTTGTCCATGGCGTTTGTTTTTCTTCGGGAGGTACTTCTCGACGTAAGCCGGACGCCAGAGCTCGCTGTATCCGTAGGTCTCGATGCCCGGCGGGATGTGCCCCATGATCCAGACTGTGACGTTCCTGTCTACGGCCGACTGCAGCCGGGAGCGCAGCCAGGCGAATTGGTGAAACGGATCCTCCGGATTCTGGTTGATAGCGCCCTCGTGGCTCACGGAGTAGACGATGGTGTTGATCATGAGGACGACGATGCCTCCCATCTCCTCCTCGAAGAAGCCACCGTAGCTATAGTTCGGCACGACGCCCGAGCTCATCGCACCCTGAGTGTGCAGAACATCGCCGACGTTCGCCAACCAAGGATTCTCGGCCTCGTCAGTTGTCACGTTCAGGTAATAGTTCTGAGGGGAATCGTCGTTTCCCAGAGTGCCGAAAGCCTGTCCACCACCAGAATATCCTAACACGCTAGCGTTCACCTCTGATATGATGATCTTGGTGACGTTTTGGATGGTGCTCGTGACGTTCCCCCAAGGGTAGCGGAAGTTGTTTTGCGCGTGGCGGGTCCAGTCCCCGGTGAAAGTCACAAATTGATACGTGGACGACGATTTAGCGGCCACCTTGGCAGCAGAAGACATCAACTCGTACGGAGGATCGCAGCCCACGATGCCGAACGCGTGCGCCTGTGTCTCGTTGACTGGCTTCTTGCACTGTTGCCCCCCGACGCCACCCGGAGGGGGCTTGCCGTAGAGAGGATCGGCATGGATATCGGACATCCACAAGAAGACCTTGTTCTCCGCTCGGCGTGCGCCCGTCTGCTTCCTCGTCGCAGTGGCATGCCGCGCTCTGCTCGCGCGCAGAGACAGCCAGCAGGCCTCCTCCACGTCCGCTTCCGAGGCACACGCCACGTTCTCTGCGGGCGGCGCGCCTGGCAGCTCTGCAGCGTGGCTCGAGGTGGCATGGCACAGCGCTGCCACGGCCACCGCCAGGGCACGGTGAACTCGAGGAAGGGACACCATTGCGCTGTGTCAGCGAGGCTGCGAGCGCGTGCGGCACGGATTGGTGAGCACGGTGCCTGGAGCCCCAGCAGCTTGCGCCCAGCTTGAGCCAAAATGGCTACGGAGGCTCCTTTGGGCCGTGTTAGGACCATGTTGGGTCGTTCTGGCCCTTCTTGGGCCGTTTCGGAAGGCTTGGGCCGTCTCGGGGCCCTCTCTGGCCTCTTGGGGACCTCCTGTGACCTTCTCGGGGCTCTCTTGGGAACCTTTTCAGGCCGTCAGGGGCGTCTTGGGGCCCTCTTGGGTTGTCTTGGAGACCTCTTGGGCCGTCTTCGGCCTGTCTCGGTTTTTTTTGTGCCGTCTTGGGGCGATCCGGGGGGTCTCTTGGGCCGTCATGGACGCCGTGAAGAGCAAATGAAGAAGATATGCTAAGTATGCACGTTTTCCCAATGGGAAGGAACAATGTTTGCCTGTTGGGCGTCCTTTTGGAGGCAGCGTGGAGCGTCTTGAGGGCCCCTTTGGCCGCCTTGAGGCCATCCTGGGCCCTCTTTGGAGCGCTCTGGGGCCGTCCTGACGCCCGCTTGGGCCTCGCTGAAGCCGTCGGCTGCTCTTGGGCACTCCTTGGGCTGCCTTGGGCCGTCCTGGGGCCCCCTGAGGCTCTCTTTGGGGTGATTTGGGCTATCCGTAGGGCCGAACACGACCGAACACTGTGCCATCAGAGCTGGGCCCGTTGAGACCAACCCCCTCGGGCTCCCCCTTTCGGGTTTAGGGTTTTGGGTTTAGGGTTGCTCCTCCGGGCGAACGGACCGCTGCGCTGCGCGCGCTCTCCGTCATCTGGGGCTCGGGCTGCCAGACCCCTGACGCTCCCCCTTTCTTTCACTTGTTCTGGCTAACGGGTCGCACGCGAAGCGCGCTCTGCGTCATCCGCCGCCGCCCCAGGTTGATCTATCATAGGGGTGGCTGGCGTGCTGGACATCTGGCGATCTCTGGTTCTTTTAAAGCTCCACATGGGGCTTCAGCCCAGCCCGCAGGCCATCGGAAGAGCTCCCAACATTTGTTATCCGTTGGCCCATCGTCTCCAAGATGGCCCAAGATGGCCTCCAAGATGGCCCCAAGACGCGCCAAAGACGGCCGAGAAGGCCTCGACAGAGCCTAAGATGGTCGAATGATGCCTCTAATACGGCCCATGATGCACTCATGACAGCCCAAGATGGTCTCAAGATGGCCCAATTAGCTCCCAAAAGGCCCCCCAAAACGGCCCAAGAGGTCTCCAAGAGAAAGATTCCACGGACAGGCCCACAGAGCACAATATCATTGAATTTCCTTTGGCTTCCTATGAATTTGATATTTGCTTCAAAAAAGCATTCCGACGGCCCAAAACGGCCAAGGCCCCCACTATTACCCCTAAGAACGCCTCCAACGCGGCCCCCAAAAGGGCCCCCCCCCCAAAAACGGCCGAAGAGGCCTCCAAGACGCCTTAGATGGCCTTCAAGATGACCCTGGAGCGCCCCAAAAGGGCCCCGAGACCGCCCAAAGAGGCTCAACGTCCGACGGCGTCAGACGGGCCAGGAACGCCGTTACACTGCCAAAGAGGCCCCAAGAAGCCCGCAAAGGCCCCACAGAGGCCCAAGGAGCCCCCACGAGGCCTCCAAGAGGCTTCCAAGAGGCTCCCAGGAGCCTACAAAAATGACCTGATAAGCTCCCAAGAGGTCTCCTCATCCTTCTCGTCATCATCCTTTTTCCTCCTTCTCATCAGCCCCCTCTTCCTCCCCCAGGCGTTCCCCGACGGGCTGACACAACGGTTGGGTGAACGCATGGTCCGATAGCGTGGCCAAACTTTGCCCAAAGTTTGGCCGCATAGGCAACCTTTGCCCAAAATTTGGCCGCATAGGCATACGTATCCTAAAAAGGCAGGGGGTTGCGGTGACTCGCCGTAGGCGTCTTCGATGCAGCGCCCACTGAGTCCATACCTCGTCGCGGGCGATGGCTAAATCGCATGGGTGGCCAATGCGAGTGGACGCAGGATGACCTCAGACTCTCAAATTGCACGAGGGCAAACTCTCGGAAACGCATCCTGTTCGCCTCTTCCAAGGGGAGAGTGAGATCTCTTGAAGTCCCTGGGCGTCCCCAGAAGATCCTCCGCAAGTCCCCCGAGACCGCAGGTATACACATACAGGTACAGAACAAATGACACATACATCTACATACACATGCATACATACACACATAACACTATATGCACGTATGTATGTATGCATGCATGTATGTATGTATGTATGCACGCACGTTATATACATGTACGCGCGCCAAGCAGTCCTTGCACTTACAAATTATGTTTTCTGCTCTATGGAACTGGGCCGTGTCTTCGGTCTGGCGGCTGTGTGGTTGCCGTCGCCACCCCGTCGTCGGGGCCGTGTGTTCAATCTGGCCGCTATGTGGCCGCCGTCGCCGCACTGTCGCCGCCCATCTCGTCGCCGCCTAGGTTGCACAACCAAAACTGTCTTTTCTGAAAGACATCAAGGTCGCCCCCACCCCCCCCGCACGACTGATCGGTCCCCCGTGGGGATGTGCAGTTTTTTTTACATATCGTTCATTCTAAATGTTTAATCAGACCATCCCAAATAGGCCGGTACCACCCCCATCATCCTTTGCAAAAAAAAAACATGCGTTTGCACTCGTTCACAAATCATCAGTTTGCGTGCGCAGTCCTTTATCACAATTCATCAGTTTGCGCGCGCGAGAACAAGCCGAAGCGCTCACGCGCCCGTCATCGCGCGTTCATTCCGAGATCCTCTCAAGCACCTTAGGTTTCGTAGGGATGTCAAAATCGAGTGTCGCGAAAACAAATAAAACACCGGGTTTCGCAACCACGATTGCCAAGACAAGTTTGCGTTCGCGATCTTGCAGATTCTTCAAGAAACCAATGGATTGTCCCGCATAGTCATACATGCTACCAAACACGCCCCTCGCGCGCGCATGTCGAAATCGTTCGGGTGCCCTTTGCGCGCTTGCTGTCGCAATAAGATGTGTCAGCAAAAAGGGACGCGCGCGCGTCGTCGCACGCACATGCGGGAATTTTCTGGAAACCCTGGGCTCTGTAAGGATTCGCAACGGTGCCCCGAAAACGTATGAAAACCACATAGTTTGGCAACGTCAATTTTCAAAATAACCCGCGCGCGCGTCTTTGCGAAGTCAAACTAGAACCAGAGCTGTGTTTCAATATGTTCATCAATGTCTGCCAATCGGGCCTCTCGTGCCGCATGTCGAACTCATCCGAACGCCCTTGCGCGCGTGCTGTGAGGCACGATCCGTTACAAATAATACCACGCGGGCCACTCGCGCCCATCGGCCGAGAGCGCATGTCGAACTCGAACTATTCCCAAAAACTTCATCACCAGCGCGAACCACTCGTCATAGTGATCCGCGGGCCTGGTAAACATCGGCGCCGTCATTGGCCTTGCCGTCGTCATCGACAACATCGCTACTCTCATAATCGTGCCTACCGTTGTCGGCATCGCCATGATACCGCGCCCGCCAAAGTCACCAACTCGCACTGAAGTGCCCGCTGGAAAATGCCCAGCGGTCAGCGCCACCGCGGCCGCGTCGGTCGCGCCAAACTAGTTGGCCGTCGTGCGCGCGAGCATGCGGGGGCTAGCGCGGCCGCAGAAATGCACCAACCAACGCCAAACTCATCGCAATCGCTGCTGCATGGGTTTTGCAAACGCATCTGAGGGTGGGCGGGTGAGATAGTTGCACGGGCATGGGGTGTGTCAGCCCATTTGTAAACACCAATTCTCGTTTCTAAAACGAGAATAAGACTCTACCCCCCCCGGACTTAACGCTTCCCCCCTGGGATCAGACAGTTTCATATATATATATATATTCTGCACACTCGTCCATCCTAAATATGAAATCACATCATCCCAGCCAAACCGGTATCCCCCCCCTTAGGTTCCCTTGTGAAAAAACACTATGCGGTGACAATGTTTGTTCTAGCATGACACTGTTTCACGAATCCCTTGCAAAACACGGGACGAGGTGCACACGCGCGCGTCGCCGCGCACGCTTGCCGAAATCCTTCAAAAACCGTCGGTGCAGGAAGGGTTCCGCAATCGAGTTTCCAAAAGACATACAAAAACACAAGGTTTCGCAACACTGCTTTGCTGAAAAAGCTT